GGAGGAGGAGGAGGAGGAGGAGGAGGAGGAAGGGGGGAGGAGGAGGAGGATGGGGGAGGGGGGAGGGAGGAAGGGAGGTATCTGTAGGTGTTTACTTGCCTAGTACCTTCACTCTGATGTCACCCTTAACAAGCTCACTTTGATCTCGTCACTCGGTTTATATTCAGGGAGCGCATATTAATTTCACCCTTAAAAGAGCTTTGTCGTTAATGGTCTCACATTATGCTTTCACCCTTGGGAATCCTACGGCCGAACTCACCCTTAAGAGATCTCACCCTTCCCTCACCCTTGAATATAATACACTGACCTCACCCTTGAGGATAATACACTGACCTCACCCTTAAAAGATCTCACCCTTGAAGATAATACACTGATCTCACCCTTGATGATAATACACTGACATCACCCTTAAATGATCTCATCCTTGAAGATCCCACGCTGACCTCACCCTTAAAAGATCTCACCCTCGAAGATACCACAATGACTTCACTCTTCACCCTGTTTTAACGCTTGGAGATCACACACTGACCTCACCCTTAGTTAGATCTCATCCTTGGAGATCCCATCCTTCCCTCACTCTTAGAGATCCCACACTAACCTCGCCCTTGAAGATCCCATACTAACCTCACCCTCAAAAAGACACGCATTTACCTCACATCTAAAGATCTCAACCTTGGAGACTACCCTTAAAAGATTTCACCCTAACCTCACCCTTGTACCCTTCACCCTACCCTCGCCCTTGAACCCTCCACCCTACCCTCACCCTGCCCTCGTCCTTGAACCTTTCACTCTACCCTCACCCTCGAACCCTCTATCCTACCCTCACCCTTGAACCCTCCACCCTACCCTCACCCTCGAACCCTCTATCCTACCCTCGCCCTTTAACCCTTCACCCTACCCTCACCCTCGAACCCTCCACCCTACCCTCACCCTTGAACCCTCCACCCTACCCTCACCCTCGAACCCTCCACCCTACCCTCACCCTTGAACCCTCCACCCTACCCTCACCCTCGAACCCTCCACCTTAACCTCACCCTCGAACCCTCCACCCTACCCTCACCCTCGAACCCTCCATCCTACGCTCACCCTCGAACCTTCCACCTTAACCTCACCCTTGAACCTTCTATCCTACCCTCACCCTCGAACCTTCCACCCTACCCTCACCCTCGAACCTTCCACCCTACCCTCACCCTTGAACCCTTGAACCCTCCACCCTACGCTCACCCTCGAACCCTCCACCCTACCCTCACCCTTGAACCCTTCACCCTACCCTCACACTTGAACTCTTCACCCTACCCTCACCCTCGAACCCTCCACCCTACCCTCACCCTTGAACCCTCCACCCTACCCTCACCCTCGAACCCTCCACCTTAACCTCACCCTCGAACCCTCCACCCTACCCTCACCCTCGAACCCTCCACCCTACGCTCACCCTCGAACCTTCCACCTTAACCTCACCTTTGAACCTTATATCCTACCCTCACCCTCGAACCCTCCACCCTACCCTCACCCTCGAACCCTCCACCCTACCCTCACCCTTGAACCCTTGAACCCTCCACCCTACGCTCACCCTTGAACCCTCACCCTCGAACCCTCCACCCTACCCTCACCCTTGAACCCTCGAACCCTTCACCCTACCCTCACACTTGAACTCTTCACCCTTGAACCCTCCACTCTACCCTCACCCTCGAACCTTCCACCCTACGCTCACCCTCGAACCTTCCACCTTAACCTCACCCTCGAACCTTCCACCCTACCCTCACCCTCGAACCCTCTACCCTACCCTCACCCTTGAACCCTTGAACCCTCCACCCTACGCTCACCCTCGAACCCTTCACCCTCGAACCCTCCCCCCTACCCTCACCCTTGAACCCTTTAACCCTTACCCTACCCTCACACTTGAACTCTTCACCCTTGAACCCTCCACTCTACCCTCACCCTCGAACCCTTCACCCTAATCCATAGTCGAACTCAGTTTTCACCCCAAGTTTTAACCTCTTTCCTCGACTGTTCCTTTGTTTTCCGTTGTTTCCTTTATCCCCAAACTTTATTTTTGTCCTCTGAATAATTGATCTTCCTGTCTCTGTGTCACTCTTTCTCTTCTGCTCTATCCCCTTTTTCGACTGTTTTATTCTTAATCTGATTCTTATTCTTGGTTGTATTGTTATTATCAGCATTATTATTATTGTGGTTATTATCATTATAATCAACAACGTCATTACTATCATCTTCATCATCATTATATTATTATTATTACTATCATTAACAAATACATTTTCTTATATTCTTATTACTATCATTATTATTTCATTTCTTATCATTATTTATACCATAATCAATTTTCTTCCTTCTGGCTCTCTTTGATTTTTCTGCATGTTAATTTGTTTAGATTTATACTTTTCTATTCCTTATGCCTTTCCCATATTTTCTTTTTTCTCTCTATTTTTCCATATTCCTTATTCACTATCTTCTTTCTCTTTCCCCTGCCTACTTATTGCTTCCACTTTCCTTCCTTCCTTCGTCTTTCCTCTATCTCTTTTTCGTACCTCATTCCTCCCTTCCCTGCCTCTTCCCTCTCTCTCTCCTCCATCCCTCCTTCCTCCCTAATTTGTCTTCCCCTTCTTCCTTTTATTCCCGCCCATTCCCTTATTTATCCTTCCCCTGTTTCTTTTTTCCTTTTCCTCTCTTCTTTTCTCCTGCTTCCCTCCTACCTCAACATCCTCTATCCCTTCCAAATTTTCCTCGCATTCTCTAACCCTCTCCTTCCACCTCACCTTTCCCCTACTCCCATCGTTTCACCTTCCCCGTACCCCCTAACACCTCACCTTCTCCCTACCCCCCAACACTTTCACTTCCCCCCTACCCCCCATCAATTTCACTTCCCTCCTACCCCCTAACACCTCACCTTCTCTCTCCCCCCTTATCACCTCGCCTTCTCTCTCCCTCTTACCACCTCACCTTCCTTATCACCTTCCCCTCCCCCCCTCCCCCCTCACCTTCCTTTTTACCTTCCCCTCCTCCCTTTACCACTTCACCACCGCCCTTTCCCCTCACCTTGGTCTTGATCCCATGGGCGTCGATCTCCGCAATGCACTTGAGGACGAGGTGCGGCACGGGGGCGCTGGTCTCGCTCAGGTGCTGCGCCAGGTCCACGCCGAAGGTCGTCATCTTCCGGGGCAGTCGCTTGTGGCCGCATTGAATCGCCAGAGTCTCCAGGCATTTCTTGTGGCACCCTAGCATGCACTGTGGAGGGAAGAGAAGGGTGTTAGAAAGGGAGGTGTTAGGGAGGGTACTGGAGGGGGAGAAATCTGCGTGTAGGGATCTAGGGGTGTCGTGTCTGTTTTAATGGTGTTTTGTTGGTATGAAATATCTGTATTTATGTTTTTTGTCTGTCTCGTTGTTGGTGTTGTTTTGGGTGATCTTTCTCTTTCTTTCTTTCTTTATCTCTCTCTCTCTCTTTCTCTTTCTCTCTCTCGCTCTCTCTTTCTTTCTTTCTATCTTTCTTTCTTTCTCTCTCTCTCTCTCTTTCTCTCTCTCTCTCTCTCTCTCTCTCTCTCTCTCTCTCTCTCTTCTCTCTTCCCTCTCTCTCTCTCTCTCTCTCTCTCTTCTTCTTCTTCTTCTTCTCTCTCTCTCTCTTCTTCTCTCCCTCCCTCTCTCCCTCTCGCTCTCCCTCTCTCCCTCTCTCTCTTCCTCTCTCTCTCTCTCTCTCTCTCTCTCTCTCTCTCTCTCTCTCTCTCTCTCTCTCGCTCTCTCTCTCTCTCTCTCTCTCTCTCTCTCTCTCTCTCTCTCTCTCTCTCTCTCTCTCTCTCTCTCTCTCTCTCGCTCTTGCTCTCTCGCTCTCTCTCTCTTCCCTATTCCCCTCACCCTCCCACCCTCTCACTCTCCCACCCTGTACTCTCCCTCGCCTTCTCCTTCTCCCTCATTCATCGCCTCTTCCCCCCCCTTTAACACCTTACCTCCGCACACTCGTAGCCATGGAAGTACACGTAGGAGTCACACTCGCGGCACCTGGACGGGGTCTTGAGCCTCCTGAAGGCGTGGGTGACGGCGGCCTTGCTCATCACCTGAAGCCGCGTCCCTCGTAGGTAGTGCGTGTCCGCTGGGGAAAGAAAGGAGAGTTGAATTGAAGCTGAAATTCTAGAAATCCTGATGAGTGACATGTACATATGAGGTTATGCGCGTCCAAAGGTATTCTAAGACCAAATGCGTTTTTTTCTAGATGTTATTTTAAACTTTCATCTATAACATAAACATCGAAATCTTCACTTTAATGCCCTGCAGTCATGGGAAAACGTGAATTAACGGTGAATATATCGATACTCATGTTCAATATGGAAGTTATGAAACGGACAAAATATTTCATATACGGACTATTGGTCTGAAAACCTTCGTATAAACAAACGATATTACGTACACAGAACACGCGTATGCACATGTGAACAATGGTATACATGTACGTTCTCACAGGTACATGTGTTTATGTGCGTGTCTACACAACCGAAACAGGAATATGTGATTGTACATAAAAAATATATATATATGTTTTCTCGTCCAAATTCGCGATGTCTTGCTATCAACTTATTGGAAATCGATATATCTGGAACATGTATCCTTCCTCACATCCCACTATTAAATATTTGCATCCTCTCTCTGTCACTGTCTCGCTTATCTGTATGTCTGTCTGTCTGTGTCTGTCTGTCTGTCTATCTATGTCTGTCTTTCTGTCTGTCTGTCTGTCTGTGTCTGTCTCTTTCTCTTTCTCCTCCTTCTCCTTCTCCGTTTCCTTTTCCTTTTCCTTTTCCTGCTCCTTCTCCTTCTCCTTTTCTTTCTCTTTATATATATATATATATATATATATATATATATATATATATATATATATATATATATATATATATATATACATATATATACATATACATATATATATACATATATTTGTGTGTGTGTGTGTGTGTGTGTGTGTGTGTGTGTGTGTGTGTGTGTGTGTGTGTGTGTGTGTGTGTGTGTGTGTGTGTGTGTGTGTGCGTGCGTGTGCGTGGGCGTGTGCGTGTGCGTGTGCGTGTGCGTGTGCGTGTGCGTGTGCGTGTGCGTGTGCGTGTGCGTGTACACTTCCAAAACACACACACATATTCATATATGCATGTATGTATACACACATCCAGATACATACACACACACAACTTATTTCTTGTAATTCCATATTTAATCCCTTTTGTTTCCATCATCTATCCTTTGTGGTTTCAGCCCTTAACCCTGGCGGTCGCAAGGGATAAGAGCTGTGGTCATAGTAGCCCTTATCCCTTATCCTTTATTAATTGATTCTATCCCTTGCGGTTTCATATCTGGTTTCTTGCGCTGTCATTCCTTATACCATGTGATTCCAACCCTAATTCCTTACGGTTCTTACCCTGATGTGATTTTGACTCCCCCCCCCCTTGTGACTCCAACCATAATCCAACCGTAAACCATCCTTATGGTTCTTACCCTGATGTGTTCTGACTCCACCCCCTTGTGATGCCAAACCCTATCCTTTCTATTCCATTAATATTTCCCCCTCGTGATTTTCCTCTAACCCCTATCCCTTTTTTCCCCGATTCTATGTCCCCTCGTTATGCCTAAACCCCTATCCCTGATTCTACTTCTATTCCCCCCTTGTGATTCCAAACCCACTATTCCCATGTCACCCTTTCTGACTCCCAAACCCCCTATCCCTCTGCCAATTCCATTCCTATGTCCCCCTCGTGATGCCTAACCCCTATCCCTTGTAATTCCATTCCTATGTCCCCCTCGTGATTCCAAACCCCTATCCCTTGTAATTATATTCCTATGTCCCCCTCGTGATGCCAAACCCCTATCCCTTGTAATTCCATTCCTATGTCCCCCTCGTGATTCCAAACCCCTATCCCTTGTAATTCCATTCCTATGTCCCCTTCGTGATTCCAAACCCCTCGTTACCTGTGTCAGGGTCGGTCTCCAGCTCATCCCCGGACGAGAGGGCGTGGGGGCGGCGGGCGGTGGCGAGGGGCGACGCCGTAGGGGAGGCATCGGCGCTCTTGGCAGATTTCGACGAGCCTACGCTGTCCGTGTCGCTGCCTCCGGGCCCCGCCAGTCGGCTCACTGCGGGGAGAGAAGGGGGGCGGGAGTTAGGCTGTGGGATGGGAGGTCAGGCGAGGCAGGAGGTCAAGGAAGAATGGAAGAGGGAGTGAGAGAGAGAGACAGACAGACAGAGAGAGAGAGAGAGAGAGAGAGAGAGAGAGAGAGAGAGAGAGAGAGAGAGAGAGAGAGAGAGAGAGAGAGAGAGAGAGAGAGACAGACAGACAGAGAAGAGAGAAGAGGGCAGAGAGAGAGACATAGAGACAGAGAGAAGAGAGCAGAGAGAGACAGAGAGAAGAGAGCAGAGAGCAGAGAGAGCAGAGAGCAGAGACAAATACGGTATTGTAATAATCTGCCACATGTTCAATAAACGGATGACATAAATCGGCTCTGTAAGCCCACTGAAATTACAATGGCCGGATAGAAATTGGTTTACAAATTTGTGTCCATACTAAAACTATTTCATTCTTTATTCTTTGTTTTTTTTTCTAGATTAAATGTAATGGATTTTTTACTGTAAATTGCAACGATAAAAAATGATAAGAAATAGAAATAAAACAGATAATCATGATCATGATGGTGATGGTGATGATGATGATGATCATGATGATGATGATCATGATGATCATGATCATGATCATGATGGTGATGATGATGATGACGATGATGGTGATGGTGATGATGAAATAAAATAGAATAAAATAGAATAAACTAAAATAATAATAATAATAATAATAATAATAATAATAATGATAATAATAATAACGATGATGATAATAAAATAAAATAAAATAAAACAAAATGATAATAATAATGATGATAATAATAACGATGATGATAATAATAATGATAAAAAATAATAGTAATAATAATAACAGTAATAATAATGATAATGATAATAATAACGGTAATAATAATGATAATGATAATAATAACAATATCATCAATACTAATGATTTAATAACCAAGTGATAAACCCCTCTCTCCCCCCTCTCTCTCTCTTACTCCCCCCCCTCTCTTTCTCTCTCTTACTTCCTCCCTCGTCCTCCCCCCCTCCCCCTCCCCCCCTCCCTCTCTCTCTCTCACTTACCCTGCAGGTCATCCGTCCCAGGAACAGAGCCGTTGGTCGCGTGGTCGTGAGGGGCGTCCTGCTGTCCCGGCGTGTACGACTCGAAGCTGAAGGGCGTCTCGGGCGTCTCCTGGCCGAGGGAGGGACCCAGTCGCTTCACGAACTCCATGTACTGGGACCCCGGCTCGTACAACCGGGAGCTCTCGCATAGGGTCTGGAGCTGCGGAGAGGGGGGAGAAGATAGGGCGGTGATTAAGGGTGGTATTGGCCTGAAATAGGGTGAAATGGGTGAAACAGGGTGAAACAGGATGAAATAGGATGAAATAGGATGGGATAGGGTGAAATGGGTGGGATAGGGTGAAACTGGATGAAATAGGGTTAAATATGCTGAAATAGGGTGGGATAGGGTGAAAATGGATGAAATAGGGTGAAATTGGGTGGGATAGGGTGAAACAGGATGGAATAGGGGGAAAACGATGGGATAGGGTGAAACAGGATGGAATAGGGGGGAATAGGGGGAAAACGATGAAACAGAATGAAATAGGGTGAAACTGGATGGAATAGTTGGAAAACGATGAAATAGGGTGAAACAGGGTGAAATGGGGGGGGGGGGATGATGAAATAGGGTGAAACAGGATGTAATAGGGTGGACAAGGACAATGTAGAATGATGCAATACTTGCTATTGACAATTCCTGCCCGCAGAAATTTGTTATTGTTTTCTTCTTTTGAAAATTTTATTGATTTTCTGTTCTTTTATTTTTGCTTGCTGATGGTGTATTTGAACATCAAATATATAAGAGAAAGGAAATTGGATATGTGTGAAATTATCCATTTAATGTGTTCTCTCAGCCACTCACTTTCAACTCTCACTCTTTCTTCCACTCTCTCTCCCTCTCCCTCTCCCTCACCCACTGCTACCACACTCCCTATTCCTTCCCACTCCTACTCCCATTTTTCCCACCCTCACTTCCACTCTCCCTCTCACTCTCTCCACTCCCACTCTCCTTTCCCATTCCCTCTTCCCCTCCCCCTCCCACTGACCCTTCCCCTCCCCCTCCCACTCTCCCTCCCTCTCCCACTTTCACTCTCCCCACCCCCACTCCCTCTCCCACTCCTACTTTTCCCACCCCACTCCCACTCCCACTCTCCCACTCCAACTCCCTCCCATTCCCACCCCCACTTCCACTCCTACTCCCACTTTTCCCATCCCCCACTGTCCCTTCCCCTCCCTCTCACTCCCACTCTCACTTTTCTCACCACCTCCCCCACTCCCACTCTCCCTCTCCCTCTCACTCCCACCCCCACTTCCACTCCCCACTCTCCCACTCCTACTCCCACTTTTCCCACCCCCCACTGTCCCTTCCCACTCCCACTCTCCCTCCCACTCCCACTCTCCCACTCTCCCTCTCACCCTCATCATTTCCGCAATATGCAAAGTGGATGACTCTTCGGCGGCGCAAACTTTATTTACTCTCTCTCGGGCCTGAAAGACTTCCCCAATGCCCGCACGAAATCCATTTACGCTCCCGCACCAACTGTATAAAGTTCGCACAATGAGCTCCCGGGGTTTCTTGTTTCGTGCCTGGGAGACCTTGGAAGGGGGGGGGGGAGGGAAGGAGTGGGGGGGAAGGAGGAGGGAGTAGTAAGGGGGAGGTAGTGGGGGTGTGGGGGGTAGAGGGGTGGAGGGAGGGTGATGAGTGGGGGGTAAGGGGGTAATAAGGTGAAGGAGGGTGGTGGTGGTGATGGGGGGAAGGGGGGAGGAGGAGGAGGGGGGGGTGATTGGTTGTGGTGGTGATGTGTGTGTGTGTGGGGGGGGGGGGGTGAGGGAGGGTGATGACAGAGGGAGGTATGAGGAGGGGGGGGGGGTTGTGATGGTTGTGGTACAATTGATAATCACGACGACGATGATAATGATGGTGATGAACAACACCAGTAAATAAAATAACAATAATAATAATGAAAATAACAACAACAACAATGATAATAGTAATAAGAATAATAACACTATTAATAGTAACAATAATAAAAATAATATTAACAACTATTATTACTAGTAGTATTTTTATTAGTATAATGATAACACTATCAACAATAACAATAACCATAACAACAATAATAATATGATCGTACGAGTATATTTCAGCATAAAAGACCCCCTTTAAAATACACGTTTGAACTCTCTTTATAAGCCCTAAGTTTGTCAATTTTCGCTCAGATACTCGATACTTCTTTCCCAACTATGGCACGGGAGACAAGTTCTTAACAAAATTTATACGTCTAATATAATCTTATTAACTTACTTTACCAAAAAAAAGACTTTTTAATATAAGCTTATTAGTTTAGTCTACCCAAATTTATCATTTTTATCATTATCTATCGAAATTTATCATTACAATACAATCTTATCAGTTTAGTCTACCAAACACTAGGGCTAATTCTGCGAGGATTTTTTTGGAGCGAGATATTATGAATCTCAGGAAGTTCATTTCGGATTTTTTTTTTTTTTTTTGATGATGGGTTTGGGTGGATTTTTTTTTTTTCAAAGGTTCAATTTCCTTCTCATATGCCGGGATATAGGGTAATAATGATGATGATAACCCTGCTAGGTCTCACACGCATTCATTCTCTCCCTCGCCTTTTTTTAATTCGCCGTATTTTCTTGTTCTACGTTTTTTTTTTGTTTTTTGTTCTGGATATTTTTGTTGCTGTTTGTTATATATATATATTTTTTTGCGATCCTAACTAATGCCGTTCTTATTTTGCTAATCTTCTTCTCCCCTTTTTTTAGCCTTTCAGAACGAGTTTCTTGATTTTCTTCTCTCCCTCTAATTCTTCTCAATCTCCCTTCCCTAATTCACGCCCCTCTCCCCCCCTCCCCTTCCCCCCTCCTCCCACTCTCCTCTCATACCACCACCTATCTCCTCCCTCTCCGCCTCCCCCCCTTCCCCCTCCAACTCTCTTCTCATACCACCACCTATCTCCTCCCTCTCCGCCTCCCCCCTTCCCACAACTCTCTTCTCATACCACCACCTGTGTCCTCCCTCTCCCCCCCTCCCCTCCCCCCCTCCTCCCACTCTCCTCTCACACCACCACCTATCTCCTCCCTCTCCCCCCCCTCCCCTCCCCCCTCCCACTCTCCTCTCATACTACCTCCCGCCTCCTCCCTCTCCCCCCCTCCCCTCCCCCCCCTCCTCCCACTCTCCTCTCACACCACCACCTATCTCCTCCCTCTCCGCCTCCCCCCCTTCCCCCCTCCCACTCTCCTCTCATACCACCACCTATCTCCTCCCTCTTCGCCTCCCCTCCTCCCTCCTCCCACTCTCCTCTCATACTACCTCCCGTCTCCTCCTTCTCACCGCCTCCCTCCTCCCCCTCCCCTCCCCACGATGCCTCCTCACCTGCACGGGCGCCGGAGCTGCCACGGTATGTTGCAGCTGGAAGTAGCAGACGGTGACGGCCTTCATGGTCTGGTCGCACTGCAGGATCAGCTCCCGGGTCTGCATCAGGACATCCCGCTTCACCTTCAGGAGCGCCGCGTGCCTGTCGTTCGCCTCCGCCACACAGCTCCGGTAGGTGGCTTCTGCCTCGCGGGCCTGTGGAAAGCGGTGAGGAAAATCGGGAGTTACGAAGGAATATTGGCGTGGCGTTATAGAAGAAAAGTGTAAGAAACAAGTGTAAAAAATGTTATACCAAAACCTACGCTTAACCATCACTGGCATCGTCCGTTTATTTCCGAATGATTAACTCTATCCCGGCGAAGGAGCAACCGCACTGCCTTTCCGCAACACGAGCAACGACAATGGTCGAGCGCGCCTCCGTCGGGCAGCCATTATGACTGTCGACCTTGACACCAAAGGACGTTCTCGCCGCTGTCAAGTCAAGAGTTATCCGACAATGACAGCGGCTGCGATTGTTTGTCTTTTCTACTGCTTTCCTATCCCTCATTTTATCGGCTGGTCTCTCGTTTCTGAACATCCGGCCGCCAGATCACTCAAAATTCGCCTAATTTTCCAAACTGGCACCGTATGTCATCGCCAATTATGAACGCACATTTTGAAATCTTAATCATCCAGATGCTTTTTCCAGACCCTGATTTAAGATGAGATCATACCCTAAGATCTAATCGAATTCAAGACGAGATCGACGGCGGAAGCGGTAATAAGACTCACTGAATTCGCAAGAAGCCTCGTTAATCCCTGGTTCGAGAAACTCATCAGACGCGCAGACGTCGGTGCAGCTTCACCATTCAGTCTCGGCCGCTGTTTCTGCCATCGACATTTTTGCCCCTTCATGCAAGCCCTGCAACAGCACCACGGGGCCAGGGTGCCATGTTGCCAGGGTGCCATGAGACCAGGGTGCCATTTGACCAGGGTGCCATGGGGCCAGGGTGCCATGAGACCAGGGTACCATGTTGCCAGGGTGCCATGAGACCAGGGTGCCATTTGACCAGGGTGCCATGGAAGCAGGGTGTCATGGGGCCCCGAAGCCAGGGTGTCACACGACAAACACCACCATCCCTTACAGTCCTAAAGTACACAATGTAGTTCGAGCTCTAATTATCAGCTGGTGTAACTTACAAGTACAGCAAAATATGTGTTCTATCAATTCAGTTTCGGGGACAACAGTACACTGCGTAAGGCCTAGTTATGTGTTCGTGTAAATGCATGTGTGCGTTTGAATTTGCACGTATGTATATATATGTGCATGTGTCTGTATGTATACCTTAGCGCGCGCGCGCGCGCGCGCGTGTGTGTGTGTGTGTGTGTGTGTGTGTGTGTGTGTGTGTGTGTGTGTGTGTGTGTGTGTGCGTGTGCGTGTGCGTGTGTGTGTGTGCGTGTGCGTGTGCGTGTGCGCGTGCGTGTGCATTGCGTATAATTATGCGAATGCTATTAAGCACTAGATTTCACTGCCTCGGGCCATCTACCTCGCCTTCCTCACCGACTGTCTGCATTGCCAGTCACAGGAACAACAACAAACACTCGAAATAATCCTAAAGACATAAAAAAAACTTTGTCCACATATTCGTCCCGGAAAGGAAACTCACCTTGAATATGGCCTCATCTCGTTTTCTCTCGATTTTGTCCTGGTTTTCCGTGTTCTCTGCCCGCGCGGCAGCCTCCCGCGCCTTGGCCAGCTCCTGCAAGGGACAAGAGGCGGGGTCAGAAAAGGTCATGCAGGATTCCTCTCCACTCCGGTTCTTATGCAGACAGAGGAAACGGAAAAAAACGTAATAAAAGTCTGCAAAGTGTGGGATGAAATATATTGGTACACACAAACACATAAACATGCATGCACGCACGCACGCATACATGCACGCACGCACACATATGCACACACACACACACATATGCACACACACACACACACAAAAAAACACACACACACACACACACACACACACACACACAATCTGAAAAAAGATATATGCAACAACACAATGATAAAAAAAACAGTATTACATGCACAAAATAACAGAAGACAGAATCACCAAACAATGCAATAAAAAAAAACGCATGAAAAAAAACACAAAATAAAAGAAAGAAAGAAGACAATGACATTTGCCCCCACCCCACCTTTCACCCCCATAAGTGTGTTCACAGCTGATACCGCCCCCCCCCCTTCCCCCCCATAAGTGTGTTCACAGCTGATGAACAAGGGTATCCCGGGGGCGGTGTTCAGTCCACAGAACATCGGCGGGAGAGCGGCCATGAGCGGCGGTCGTCGTGTCACGTGATCGAACATGGCCTATCTGCCAGTGTGATGGTGACGTCATAGCCGTTACCTCCTTTCTCCTCCTATGCTCCCTCCCCTCCTCTTCTTACCTTCTCCCCTCCTACCTCCCCGTCCCCTCCTCCTTCCTTCCTCGCGTTCCTTTCCTCCCTCCTTCCTTCCCCCTTTCCGTCCTCCCTCCTTCCTTCCTCCCTTTCCCCTCCTCCCTCTTATCCCCCCTTTCCTCTCCTCCCTCCTACCTCCCTTTCCTCCTCCCTCTCTTTCCCTCTCCCTCCTACTTCCCCTTCCTTGCCCTCCCCTCCCTTCCACCTCCCCCCCCCTACCTTCGCCGATATGCAAGATATGCAGATCCGTCGACTTTCTAGTTGAAAACATTCCAAAAAACAGGAAAAAAAAACAGAAAAAAAACACCTGAAAACACCTGAAAAACGGGGTTTCTAGGACGCAAACCCCCCTCCCTCCCCCCCTTCCCTCCCCCCTCTCGAAGCGCAAAGGAATGGTCTGCATCGAAGTACATGCCGCGGCCCAATTTGTGCTGCGAAAGGGCCATTACACTTTCCGAACGGGAAGTTATGCAACACTTTAGCAAAATTTACGGCGAGACGAAAACTCCAGGCGCGGCAGATGGAGTGGGGGGTGTGGGTGGGGTGGGGTGTGGGGGTAAGGGTATGGATTGAGAGAGAAGGGGGGGGAGGGGATGGCCGGAAAATACATGCTTCTTAAAAAAAAAAAAAAAAAAAAAAAAAAAAAAAAAAAAAAATGTGAGGATGGATTAGCCTTGAGAAAATGATGTAAAGACGTGACTTTATCGGAACTTCCTTGCGAACGAAAAAGATGTGTAAACATTCGAGCTCCTGCGTTAAATCACAGAAATGTATAATGTCTCTTCGTAAAATCCACAAGGACGCTCTTTTGGGTGAGATTAACGTAACAAGCAGTGTCATAGCATCACACATATAAACATTTCTCTAATAACATACGCATTGCAAACAGGCCTAACCCAAACAACTAAGTACACCCGGATATGACTACATCTACCAAAATAAAGACAAAAATGACCTTGTTGACTTCCTCCCCCCCCCTTTGGCCTACAGAACGATTCAAAACAACAACACCGAACATAAACAATACTTTAAACACTGTCCATTGCGAAAAATAAAGAGTTTGGATGAGAATGAACATCTTCACAGCGCAAAAGACTTAAATACATCTCTTTGAGTTGTGAAGATAACTATTCTCTTTCAGGCCTTATTAAACATTAACTTTTTCTTCTACTGAGGAAAAGAGAAGAGAGGAAGAGAGAGAGAAAGAGAGAGAGGAAGAGAGGGAGAGAGTGAGAGAGGGAGAGAGGGAGAGAGGAAGAGAGAGAGCTAGAGAGGAAGAGAGAGAGCTAGAGAGGAAGAGAGAGAGCTAGAGAGCGAGAGAGAGAGAGAGAGAGAGAGAGAGAGAGAGAGAGAGAGAGAGAGAGAGAGAGAGAGAGAGAGAGAGAGAGAGAGAGAGAGAGAGAGAGAGAGAGAGAGAGAGAAAGAGAGAGAAAGAGAGAGAAAAAGAGAAAAAGAGAGAGAAAAAAAGAAAGAGAGAGAAAGAGAAAAAGAGGGAGAAATAGAGAGAAAGAGAAAGAAAAAGAGGGAAAGAGAGAAAGAGAAAGAGAAAGATAACTATTCTCTTTCAGGCCTTTTTCAACAATAACTTTTTCTTCTACGGAGAGGAAGAGAGAGAGAGAGAGAGCGAGGAAGAGAGGGAGAGAGGGTGAGAGGGTGAGAGAGAGAGAGAGAGAGAGAGAGAGAGAGAGAGAGAGAGAGAGAGAGAGAGAGAGAGAGAGAGAGAGAGAGAGAGAGAGAGAAGAGAAGGAAAAAGAGAAGGAAAAAGAGAAGGAGAAAGAGAGAAAGAGAAAGGGAAAGAGAGAGAGAGAGAGAGAGAGAGAGAGAGAGAGAGAGAGAAGAGAGACAGAGAGAGAGAGACAGAGAGAGAGAGAGAGACAGAGACAGAGACAGAGAGAGAGAGAGAGAGAGAGAGAGAGACAGACAGACAGAGAGAGACAGAGAGAGAGAGAGAGAGAGAGAGAGAGAGAGAGAGAGAGAGAGAGAGAGAGAGAGAGAGAGA